ACACACACACACACACACACACACACACACACACACACACACACACACACACACACTCACTCACTCACAATCAATCAATCAATCAATCAATCAATTAGTCAATCAATCAATCAATCAAACCCCTTTTTTGAAGTTTTTTCTTTATTTATTTTCAAAATTGGCATTTGCATTTTTTTAAAACACGTCATACCCCTACAAAAAACAGCAATTCATTTCTAAAAAAATACAGGTGAACTCAGGGACCATATATCTCATGATAAAAAATGACAAAAAAAAATCCAACTTTTCTTTATATATATATTTTTTTAATTCTTAACATCGAATTTAGTTTTTGATATTTTAAAAATCCTAAACAAAGTCGGATTCCAAAACAAAATATATGGGGTTGTAGGGCTTAAAATTCCCTACAACCCCGTATATATATATATATATTTAACCTATTATTTAATTCAGTAGAATTCTGGTAAAATCGGGTCCGCGGCGCGGACCAGGTCGGCCGCGAACACGGCCCCATCTGCATCCGCCATCCGAGATTGGACCCGCGGACGCGTCCGCGGGTGTTTCATAGAGGGGAAATGGATACAAAGCTTTCATTGCGGGGAGCTTTTATGACTTTTCCCTCTCTTTTAAATAAGATTTCATGGGTTGTGCAAGGAAAATCAGAGATAGTGAGATGACAGAATCCAGATAGCACAATCACATTGAAATCAATAAAGTCCCACAGTGTCTAGAAAGGAGCATTGCACCAATATTATGCCGATGGAGAATAGAAACACTGAAACCGAATGTCAATGAGAGCTTACTCTCATCCCCACCAACATACGTATCCAGGCCGTCTCACCCTACTTGGTGCTCGGTGCCCAGGCTACTCCCTACACAGCTACTTCCTGCCTACGAATTGACAATTCAACTGTTGACATCAGCAGCCACTGAAGTACTTGAAGACGTCGACCAATGCAGACCATCACCAATAACAGGCATGCGCCCTCACATCATCATCACCATCTCTTTCGCTCTCTCCCTATCCTTATCTTCCTCCCACCTCTTCTCTCTCATGCACGAAGACCACCACCACATCCACTGGCTTTCCACGCCAAGCCTGGCTATGGCGCTGCCCTCAGCAGTGCCCCGCCTTCTTCCAGCGCCCGTGCGCACTGCCTGGCAACTACCACTAGCGCACATCGCACAGCTAGCGAGCGCATGCTCAAGCAGTGCTGCCACATGCACTGCTAAGTGCCCGAATGAGCCCACCAGTGGCGAGCTCGTTCCTTTATTAAAAGTGCTCGCCCAGTTTGCTGTCTGGCTGGGCCTTGTGTGTTTCCATTAGCTTCCGATCAGGCCAAAGTGTCTGCGCCCAGGCCCATTAAGACAGTGGCCTAGGACCGAATTGTTTTGGCATGCCCAACCACCCAGGAGTAAACCTGAGGTTCTCCCTGTTTCGCATGTGCTGCTGGAAAAGCCTAGAAGGCTCATGAATTATTTCTGATTCTCACGAGTAAGGAGGATGTAACCAACTGGAGCATGGCAACTGTCTGGCGCCCACCAAACTTTGCCACAAGTGACGAACTCAAGCCATATTGAAATTCAGGGGTCCGCCTTTACTTAGGGAGGGCTCATGCTTGCTGAAAGGGCCCCACAGTCTGGTCTCATCTATGAATCCCCCTCGGTGGCGGACATCCGCGGACGCGCGGACGCGCAGACCCGTAGCGGCCGAGGGAGGTCCGTTCGAAATTCCGAAAACGGCTCCCGGCGGCGCATCGGCGTCCCTAGGCCTGCGCACCGAAAAAAAAAAAAAATAATAATTTTCAGTGGGGGTCACTTTTGGTTCCCTATGACCCCCCCCCAAAAAATACCATCACCCCCTTTTCGTGATTTTGTCGAAGCGGGGGTGTTCGACACGTCGCAATGTACGTGTCGACGAAAAAAAAAAAAAATTCCGGCGGTGGTTGGGGGGTTGGGGAGGGGGTTATTCATTATGGGCTATTGTTGGGTGTTGGGGTGGCAAATGGTGTGGGTTGGAAAAAGTAGGTTGGTGGGGCCCGTTTGCCGAAATTGCCGTCGGTGGGGCCCGTTTGGGTGGGGACGGTTTGGTGGGGCCCGTCTGCTGGTTATCTCATCCCATTTGGTGGGGCCCGTTTGGGTTGGTGGGGCCCGTTTGGTGGGTCCAGTTTGGTGGGGCCCGTTTGGGTGGGGCCCGTTTGGGTGGGGCCCGTTTGGGTGGGGCCCGTTTGGGTGGGGCCCGTTTGGTGGGGCACGTTTGCTGCTTATCTCATCCCATTTGGTGGTGCTCGTTTGGGTTCGTGAGGCCCGTTTGGGTGGGGCCCGTTTGTGGTGTGGGCGGCCCATTTGGTGGGGCCCATTTGGGTGGGTCCCGTTTGGTGGGGCGCGTTTGGTGGGGCCCATTTCGGTGGTGCCCGTTTGCGGTGTGGGCGGCCCGTTTGGTGGGGCCCGTTTGGTGGGGCCCGTTTGGTGGGGCCCGTTTGGTGGGGGCCGTTTGGTGGGGCCCGTTTGGTGGGGCCAGTTTGGGTGGGGCCCGTTTGGTGGGGCCCATTTGGGTGGTGGTCATCACAATAAAATTTGCACGTACTAGTCCAATTTTCAGTTTTTTTCACACATTTTTTTTAGGATGAAAAATCATTGAAGTTGCTATGAATCCCCCTCGGCGGCGGACATTCGCGGCCCGTTTGGGTTGGTGGGGCCCGTTTGGTGGGTCCAGTTTGGTGGGGCCCGTTTGGGTGGGGCCCGTTTGGGTGGGGCCCGTTTGGCGGGGCCCGTTTGCTGCTTATCTCATCCCATTTGGTGGTGCTCGTTTGGGTTCATGGGGCCCATTTGGGTGGGGCCCGTTTGCGGTGTGGGCGGCCCATTTGGTGGGGCCCATTTTGGTGGGTCCCGTTTGTTGGGGCGCGTTTGGTGGGGCCCATTTCAGTGGTGCCCGTTTGCGGTGTGGGCGGCCCGTTTGGTGCGGCCCGTTTGGTGCGGCCCGTTTGGTGCGGCCCGTTTGGTGCGGCCTGTTTGGTGCGGCCCGTTTGGTGGGGCCCGTTTGGTGGGGCCCGTTTGGTGGGGCCTGTTTTGGTGGGGCCCATTTAGTGGGGCCCATTTGGGTGGTGGTTATCTCATCCCATTTGGTTATCTCATCCCATTTGGTGGTGCTTGTTAGCGGTGTGGGCGGCCCGTTTGGTGGGGCCCGTCTGCTTCGATCACTTTCATGATGTACACCGTCACATTATGCATTCACTTTGACACACAACGAAACAATGCATCATCCACACCGTGACATCATGCATCCAGTTTGACTAACTTTGACACACAACGTTGAGGCAAACACACAAAAAATAAATGAAAATCCATTGGCAATATGAAACAACACGATCATCCAACGGGAGAGTAAAATAAGTGCAACTGCTGAATGACACAAAAAACATGTCATATGAGAGTCAGATCCCCGGATGCACAAAAGTCTCGTCGAACAACTCCACTCATGTATCATAAATACCACCCATCAAACAAAGTGAAATAGCTGCCACTGCTGTACACATGTCTCACAAAAGCGAAGATATAAAAACCCTACCGCAAAGAATTGAAGAACTAAAGTACCTGAGACGAACTCAGACAACAACTGCTCCTGCCATGACACCTATCCACCTTCATTAAAAACTAGATACTCTCCGTATGTACAGAAGTCATCCTCTGGGATTAAAAAAAAAAAGAACAGTTGTCACTAGTGTACACATGTCTCGCAAAACCGAAGACATAAAAACCCTACCACAAGTGACTGCAAAGCTAAAGTACATATGAGCAACTAAGAAAACGACTATCGAACACCTGCCAAACGACGGGAAACTCCTGTCACTAGTATACAGATGTGTCACAAAAGCGAAGATATAAAAAACCCAGCCATGAAGAAGGCGCCGGCACTCCGTCCTCTCAGGAAGTGTACAACACAGGCGCAGCCTTGCGTGAACCTAAAAGCATGTCCCTACGAGCGCCGTATCGAGGCTGATCGAGAATGCGATAAGAAGTCGCCAAACTCGGTGTCGGCCTGTGCTCCTCCGGGTCCTCCCTCAACCGCGCCTGGTGCGCCACGAAATCACTCCTCACTCTCTCGTCAACTCGTTGCACTGTGCTCCACGGACGGTGAAATGACTGCTGTGTGTCGAGGCGAGGTGACGACGACGTCGGCACGTGGCCTCTCCCGACAGCTCTACCCGTGACTGGTGTCGGAGTGCTATGGGGCACGGTCGATGGAGGAGGTGTGAGTGAAGTGGTGGGAGCCCTGTGTGCACCCCAAGTCGCTGCCATGGCGGACTCTGAACAATGCTGCTCGCGCTCCAAGCTCGCCAGAGAGCCAGAATACCGAGGGGTCACAGGTGTGTACAACGGAGGCGATCGAACCCCGACCCCAAGAGATCTTGCAGCTCCCCTGCTAATCGGATCCTCCACTAGTGCACGCTGCAACGCATCAGGGTCGAGTGGCCCCGGTGTAATCTCCCCCTCCTCCATATATGCTCTACCGTGGCCGTGAAGGTCAGGTGGTATACCGCCCTCCTCCTCCTCATCGGCACCGCCTCCTCCCTCGGCATGCTCCGACGGAACGTCGTGCGCCACCGGTGAAGGATCCCACAACACTAACGCCAAAGACATACTGCCTCTGACCTCCTCCGGATCATCAGCCTGCAGGTCCATGCCGTCACCCTTAATGTGGCCGTGTGACAATGGTCCTGGACCAGCACTAGGCGACGGTGAAAGTCATCCCGCAGTATCCGCCCCATCATCGGCCTCCACACCGGGTCCACGGCCTCCGTCCCCATGCTCGTCAGAATCGCCCTCCATACGAACTGCGGCAACTACCTCCTCAGTCCGTACATCATTGGGCTGCAACGTGTCCGCCGCACAAAATCCAAGTACGACGTCGGACACGGCAGGATCTTCATGCTCTGGCACGGTCGGATCACCGTGCTCCTCAGTCTGTGCAGGGTCAGCTGCGAATGGATGCGGGGTTGTGGGATCGCAATGCTCCACCCCGCCCGGATCAGGTACTGCAGCACCGGTCTCGAAGTCCCGAGCACGCTGCTGCTCCGCCACGTACACGGTTCTACCCGCCCACTGTCTCTACAACACCTCCAGTTGTTGCTCCTCCTCTCGATCCAAGCGGGCATGGAGCTCCTCCGTCGACTCCGATACACGAGCCTTTGTAGGACGATACTCGACGTCATCCCCCACTCTCTCTCCCCTGTGGCCCCGTCCTGGAAGACCGGTGTCAAAAAGTCCGTGTCCGAGTCCAGGAAAGTCACTCGTGCGTAGGTCCGTTTGCTCCCTGTCCCCTGGAGGTGCCGAGGCGGGTGTGTGCTGGCTCGGCATATGCTCATCGGCTGTAATGTCATCCAGGTGGTCGGACACCTCGCGTCTGGCGCCCGTGGACGAGTCGGCCAGCGTCTGCAACCGCACTGATCTCCTAAGACCCTCGGTGGCGGACGGAGCTCTGTCGCTCGCCATGCGTGCTATGTGAAAGACCAATGGCTCGCCGTCGTCGTCGTCGTCGTCGTCGTCCGTGCAGGCCGCCCTCTCGCGATCCCTCTCTCTCTCAGCAGTGGGCTGAGCAGGTACTGCTGCACCTGCCCTGCCTAAGGTACATCCTCCCTTGCCGTGTGTGGCCCCTCCACTAGGCCCGCCTGTAGCACCTCCACTCGCGCCGCGTGCAGCACGTCCCGTCGGCCCGCCAATACCACCCCCACTAGCGGGAAAGGAATCATCGTCTGAATGACGGTGCAGTGTGGCTGAAAACCGTCCGGACCTGCACCGTACGTGTAGTAGAGTCTCTCGGCACTCTTATCTACACCGGGCGGCAAATCCTCCGAGTCCGACTCCTGCTCTGACGTCTGCGCCGGCTCTGCTGGCGGTGGGGGCACATAGTCGTACGGATGAAGTATCTCGGCTCTGGGACCGAAAACCTCACCAACTCCCTCCGGACGACGAGAACCCTGTTGCTCGAATTGAAGTACCTGTGCACTAACCTCGTGTGTGGCCACTGCCGACTGAGGTCGGGCTCCCCACTCCTCTGGCTCAGGCTCCTCCTCCTCATCCCTGTCGTTGATCGGGGCGTGTGTGTACTCGTCACGGTGCGCCTCAACCAGGGTCGCCATGTGGCCCCACGGAAGAACGTACCCCCCGCTGCGGTCCCTGCATCCAAGTAGTTTGAGATTGGTAGCAATCTCAACTAACAGCGCGACCTTCCTGAACTTGAGCTTGTTGCGCTTGGCCGTCTGGATGCGCTCATGCTCTGCCCAATTCCTCTCAGCAGGAGAGGCGGACGTCCACATGTGCATCACACGGCCAGCGATCTCCTGCAAGTCCGGGAAGCATGCGCCGTGCTCCACCCACCATGACGCGCACCTGCTCGTCTCCTCGTCCCCTGCACAGGCCTCCGCCTCGGCGTCCCTCGTCACCCTGTCCGACGTGTGGCCGACCCTGGAGTGGAACGATCGCATCTGCTGACGCACCCGCAAGTATGCATCCCCCGCCGCATCACCGCCTGTCTGCGCCAAGAAAAACGAGTCGCACACGGTAACGACCTCGAGGTCCGCAGCTGTCCTGCGGGCGGACTCGTAGTAACGGAGGGAGCGCCTGCGGGGGTTGAGCAGGTGCGCCGCAGTGTGCGCCGACTCAAGCATATGCATGGTGCGGATCTGCACCGCCTCCACGCATGGCCTCTGCATGTCATCAGGGACGTCAACAGCAGCCACCTGTCGCGCCAACTCTCTCTCTCTCTCTCTCTCTCTCTCTCTCTCTCTCTCTCTCTCTCTCTCTC